ACATCTAGAGCTTTACCCCGTAGAAGCGCACTTAAGTTAACAGCCCAGTTCTCTTCACCCCATATTTGTGCATCTGCATTACTTTCAAACCGGAGAAGGAAACTGTCCATCTCATCATGTTCTTCATTAAATGCAGGAAGCTTTGGAGCTTTAGGCGTAACTCGACCTTGACTTTGATCATATTGCACATCTTTGCTAGTATTTACTACCTGTGTTTCATACTCTTTCTCAACTTTCATCTGCTCAATCTCATACAATTATCTCTCCTTCTCTAACTCTCAATTATTACTTTTATATTACAGTAATGTTTAGATTGGACATCTACAAGGTAGAATGTCGATCATCCGGGACCCTTGACTTGTTCAATATTGAATAAAATATTGCAAGAAACATTGTACTTGTGTAAACACGTGAATAATGTGACAAATAAAAACAGATTATACATATTTATTATAATTTAACAACTTTAGTAAACTTACTAAACTCTGAAAGTCGAATCTAACATCTGACTTTTAATTGATTGTGTTGCATCAAGCCTAGATATATACATAACCTTTTTTCAAGAGCTGAACAAATTAAATTCCTCAATATTTTAACATGATAATTAAAACATTTTTTTTCTTTTCACAAAACTGTAAAACATACAAATTTCATCTTTTAAAATCAATTTATACAACTGCAAGCACCGAAGTAACGTGCCTTTGTTCTAAATAATCTTAAAAAGTCATGCATCCAGTTTTACTGGAGGGGGGTGGGGTCATTTGTAAAAAAAAAATTGTTGCATAACATTAAAAGAATGACAACGAAAAAATATTCTGAAATTTAAAACGTGTAGAAAAAAAGAGTTGGTTCCCAAAACAAATGAAAAAAATAAACGCAAAATTAAAATCAGTAGGGACTAACATTATTCATGCTATCAGCTGTTAGACCTTTATATGTTCAAGTTTTAAGGGGGGGGGGGGGGGGGGTAAAAAGGTAATGTGTCGAATTATGTTTTTATTAAATATATTTTTTAAAATAATGATTTAAAATGCTACTTGTGAATATTTTCTATCATTTTACTCACATATCAATCAATAGTATGCAAACGATTTGCTTCCTCTGGTTCCGCATTGTTTGTGGTCGATTCTTCTTCGTCTGACGGTTCACTAGCGTAGGGCTCAAAACACTCCCACAATTTCTGTATTATTGCACATCAATGAATCCTCATCAACACTCGAACGATTCTTCCTCTAATGGACTATCAGAATTATCAGAAACAGCGTTTTCTGTTTATCACTTGAGGGAAGCGAGACACACTTGTGACGTCTTGATTGCATTTAAACCGGAAGTGACATTGTCAAGCATATTCGATCGTTTTCACAGGTGCAAATGCAGACGTTCAACATTGATTATCTTTGAAACGGCGAAACCGATTTTAGTCGGATTTTCGCCAAAATGCAGGTTTAGTGAATTACGTTGATGAGTAAAAGTACCGTAGCCTATCTTTAAGGGCTTTTACTGTTCATCGTAAGTAATGCAGCAAGATTTCAAAAAATAAACTTTCTTTTCGTTTCCCATAACGATGCTAAGGCTTCTTGAAAATGGCTTAAGTACGCATTTCCATTGCTCTAGCTGGAGAATTTCAATGTAAAGGTGTTGGAGAGTTGCTTATGCAGAAACTCACTACATTACGCCTCAACAGGATCTTACGTATCATATGCATTAAGGACAGTCTTTGTACCGAAATTCAAGGGTTGCTATACCACTCTAAGTTAGAGAAAATTCGACTTAATCATCTGAAAAACTGGCATTTAAATATGGCAAAGAATAATTCCTCGCTCAGATCTCAATATTGATGAACCTAATCGTATCGTACAAATTAAAGCTTCAATTGTTGTTTAGGACAGTCTTGTACATTTTACTTGAATGGCTGGGAGGGGGTGTTTTAACAGTTATATGTTACTTAGTAAAGTAAAAAGATAAACATTTAACATTTTTATCAAATCTCTAATGTTCTGAAAAGCGAATTTAGCTTACAGTATTCATTTTTGAAAATAATAAGATAAAAAAAATCAAACATGTGTAGATTACTGCTTGTTGCGTTTCTTTTGCGTTTCGGTATATATACTCCGTATACATGGAAAAAATAGTAAACAAAAGTGCAAAGTCTCTAATTCATTTGGCATTTAATAAATTAATGTATACATGTAATTGGTTAGTTAGTTAATAAATGTGTATATCTACAGGGTCCTTTAATACATATCTCTTTGGTGATGAACGCAATTTTATATATTTATTAGCAACACAATGAGAGAAAAAGGTAATTATGTTCCCCAAACGGAGTTTGGGAACATATTGTTTTTACTCGGTTTCTTATTATTATGTTCCCCAAACGAAGTTGGGGAACATATTGTTTTTACTCTGTTTCTTCTTCTTCTTATTATTATTATTATTATTATTTTTCTTCTTCCTGGGAAAATTTTGTCCACGAATGATCTAGTAAACTACACATCCGACTAAGGTAAAATGTTTTTAGGGTCAGTAGACATGTTGTGTAGATTTGCCGAACGAAGGTCATTTTGCGCGCACGTGCTTGCAAGAGCGTGCACGTGCAACACGAAAAATGACCAATATAATGTGTATTGCCGTAACTTTTTCAATTTTTAATGAAATGCGTTGAAACTCATAACATAAGTATATATTTGTAGCTTAGACTAGATGACCTGGTCAAAATAGCAAGTTCTCACGCGCATGCACGTGCGTTTCGCTCTGATTGGCTGAAACTAAAGTCTCAATATCTTGCTTGTTTTTTGATAAAATCCTTTGAAATTTTGAATATAGTCATATATTAGGGAGATCTACAGCATGATATATAAGAATTATCATGAAAGCACTTACATGCACGTGTTCTGGCAAGAGCGCGCACGTGCAACATGTGAAATTACCAATATAATGGATTAAGCCTTCACTTTTCTATTTCTTGATGGAATTTTTTGAATCTCACATTGCATGGATATATTAGTAGTATCAACAAGACGACATGGTCAAAATAGCCAAATCTGACGCGCATGCACGTGCGCTTCGCTCTGATTGGCTGAAATTAAAGTCTCAATATCTTTCTTGTTTTTTGTCATAATCCTTTGAAATTTTGAACATAGTCATACATTATGAAGATCTACAGCATGATATATAAGAATTGTCATGAAAGCATGTGCATGCAGGTGTGCTGCAATCTGATTGGCTGAAACTTTAAATGCCTATAACTTTCTTAATTTTCAACAAAACAGGATGAAATTTAGAATATGAATAGGTATAATAGATTCCTACACGATACTATTAGCAAAATTGAATGCAAGGACGCGCTTGCATGAATCTGCGCAAGCGCAATGCGTAAAATGAACAATATATTTGAAAAACGGTAACATTTTATTTTCTGACTTTTTATTGATTCTTGGAATATAAAGATATGTTAATGGTTTAGACAACATGCCATGATCACCTTGCATATGCATTCACGTGTGTTTGCGTGCAATACGTTAAATGACTAAAAGTTGATATCATTGTAAATTGTAAAATTCTTTTATGAAATCCTGCGATACTGGGCATATTAAATTTTTTTTAAATGAAATTGGCACAAAAAGGGAGTTGGGGAGCGTTTGGGGAACATCTGTAACGGTCCCCGTTACAATTAGAACTAGTTATTATTATTATTATTATTATTCTTTTTTTTCTTCTTTGTTCTCCGGTACTTTTTTTGTCCGCGAGTGTTCTCAAAAACTGTTCACCCAACTGAGCTTAAACCTTTTTAGGGTTAATAGGTGTGTAGTGTAGGTGTGCAACACGAAGGTTATTTTGCGCGCATTCGCATGCACGTGCGTGCGCGTGAAGTGAGTGAATTGACTGATATACTTAATATAGCCATAACTTTTACATTTCTCGATGAAATGCTTTGAAACTCATTACATTAGGATATATTAATAATGTTAATGATATGACACTGTCAAATTAGCACGAACTCACGCGCATTTATTAGCGCCTTGCTCTGATATGCTGAAACAAAAATTTCAATTTCTCTTTTGTTTTTTGACGAAATAGTTTGAAATTTTTAACGTTGTCATGAATTAAGACATCCTTCAATATAGTATGGAAAAAATTTCATGAAATCACGCGCATGCACGTGCGCTGCAATCTGATTGGCTGAAACTTTAAATGGCTATATCTCCTTTGTTTTTTGACGACATGCTTTGGAATTTAAAACATAGTCTTGCATTAGGATATCCTGCAATATGATATACAAAAAAATTCAACAAATCACGCGCATGCACGTGAGCTGCAACCTGATTGGCCGAAACTTTAAATGGCTATATCTCCTTTGTTTTTTGACGAAATTCTTTGAAATTTAAAACGTATTCATGCATTGGGATATCCTACAATATGATGTAGAAAAAAATCATGAAATCACGCGCATGCACGTGTGCTGCAATCTGATTGGCTGAAACTTGAAATGGCTATAATTACCTTGGTTTTCAACCAAACAGGATGGGATTTAGAATATAGATAGATATAAGGGCCTCCTACAAGAAGGTTTGGTCATCATGCACGTGCACGCACGTGCGTGCATTTGGAACGAGTGAAATTAAAGATACACTTGAATGAGTGATTTTTTATACTTTTGGACTAAATGGTTTAATATATAGTATATTTAAATATATAGAAAATTGTAGACAAGATGATATGATCATTGCGCACGTGCATTCACATGCGCACGCCTGCAATGTTAAAATTTGAATATAATCGGTATCCCTCTGGGAAAACGTTGTTCAAGGCAAAATTGCACAGATGTTGTCTTATTTAATAAGGCTAACATGGAATATGGCACCAAAAGGGAGTTGGGGAGCGTCTGGGGAACATCTGTAACGGTTCCCGTTACAATTAGCACTAGTTAAAGTATGACATTTATCAAACCTTTCTTCAAATAAAAACGTATATTTTAATCATTTATTGTTATCCTTTCACAGTAAATTCTTCAAACCAAAAACAACGCTTTAAGGTTAGACTTGATGAAAAAAGTCAACATCACAGTGTTCCTGACCCTCCTGTAGAATTATCTGATGCGATGAAAACACTGGCGATTGATGACCCAGGGGATTCTAAAGACACTGGTAGCGAGGCTGATGATGAGAAGATGTCACCTGCACGTTACAGCATGGACACAGTAACCGAGTCACTCAAAGGAGAAGAAGCCGCGGCTCCTTTGTTTGAAAAGACAGAGGAAAAAGTAACGGAAAGTCCAAGTGTTATGGAGAGTTCAGAAAGTTTAGGCATTTTAAAGGTTTCAAAAAGTGCTACCGATGAACCAGAGAAAAAAATCGGCATGGTTGATTTTGCGGGACAGTGTTCATATTATTCCTCACACCAGATTTTTCTGAGTCCACGAGCATTCTTCATTCTGGTGCTCAATATGGAGAAAAACTTTGATGAAATGGTAGGAGAGGAAGTGTGTAGCCAGGAACGATCCATTTACAGAGGATATACACACAGAGGTTTGTATTTGTAAAAAAAAATACATTGAAAGCGGAAAATCCAAAACATTTTTAAAAGAAGACTTGTTTGTGAAACACTGATGCCCTTTTGGCAGCTCATGGCAAATATAGTTTATCATATAGCTAATAAATATTTTATATGGAAAAAAACTACAAAAATCTATTGAGAATTTTAACGTTCAATATCTTTGCGTTTTATTGGACACTGACTTTGTATTACGTAAATGACGAATATGCCAGAAACTTTCCGGATGTGAGCGTTCAATATAGAATGGGGACTTGTTACAAGAAATAGACATGTGAAATATGAATTACCGAAGAAAACCCATTCAAAGGGAACAGCTAAGGTATTTTTCAAAGTAGGTGAATTTATGGGTCAAAAGGTAAGAATTATTGATACACAAATGAAGATCTTGTTACAAGAAAATTATCTGTGAAAGATAAGAGCCCGAGCACCAAGCATCCAAACGCTATTACCAATGGTTAATCTTTTGAAAAGTGGGCAAAACTTTAAGGTCAAAGAGTCAAATTATTGGTTTTCAATGAAAGGTCTCGTAACAAAAAATACACGAATGATATGAAAGCTCTAGCTCCAACTATTCAAACTTATGGCTTAACTTAACTATCAAAGTGAGTAAGACTCAAAAGTCAACGTTTTAAAGTCAAAAATATCATACCAAAGAATATGTTAATCACAAGGAATAAACGTGTGATGTAGAAATGGTCTAGCACTAACATGAATGTTTATCTTTCTCAGACTACCTTACATTTTGGACAAAATCTATTCATCAGTACAGCAGCGAAAAGGCTCCCATTTTACTGGTTGGTACTCATGCTGAACAAAAGACAGATCAGGTATATCAAGAACATTTTGATGAAAAATTACAAAAAACTTGAATGTGAACTTAACAGATTAAGAGTTCTTGTATTTAAAAAAATTGTTCTCAGGGTTAGGGGTACTAATAAAGTGGAAAAATAAAGTTTGGTTACTATGGGGATATGAGTTTGTCCTTCTGTCTGAGGGAGAAACACATGTTTGAACCAGAGATTGGTTATATTTTGAGAATTTCTCATGTACATTGACCAAGTGTCATACAAGTTTAAGGCCTCTGTAAAATTGGGACATTGCGCTTTCGTAAGGAGAAAAATTATATTTTATGCAAAGATTGCTTGTGATCAGAAAGGTTGACTTGATTTTGACCTTGTAAAGTTCAAGGTCACTGACAGAGAGAAAAATGTTGACACGACCTTGTAATGGAAAGACATGGAAGTTCAGACTTCAAACAATGTTTATTAAATTTTGTTATATGCCCCATGGGTTCAAATTTTAATTAGATATCATCTAGGTCTTTTACTTTTTAGAAAATTCAATTGACAAGAGGAAAACTATTTTATGGCAATTACATTTTATCAGAAAGAGGTTAGATGTTAACCCTTCACACAAAAATCAGTAAAGAATTTATTAATAAATTGAAGACATTAAAACAAGTCCCAGATACAAGATCAAGGTAATTGAAAGAAAAACTTTATTTCATGTCCTCTCCTATTTTTCTAACAAAATAAAACATGGAAGTTAAAAATTTTTCATGAGTTTTAAAGCCAAAGATTACCGATAGAGTGATATGATCTTCAGCATTTTTGCTAGAAAAGTAAACATTGCATTGACACATTTTTCTGTAAAAAAAATCATTGGATTCAAAACAATAAGAAAATGAGAATGGTTGCCGCTTCTTAAGCTTCCCCATATAACATTTAGTTTTATCTACTTTCTTTCACTATATTATCTTTATAGTTGAACATGTGTATGAAGGAAGGATCTTATGTCCTTTTTCTTGTAAATGGTATGACTTCTTTATCTACTTTCAAAAAAAAAAACTTTCTTACTAGGAAAAAGCGGAATTTTTCCGTGAGATATGGAAGACTTTGCAAACAAAAACCAAGTCTTTGCAGAGACATCTTGATATCAAGAGAGAATTTGCCATAGGATTCCACGAGAATGAAGGCATTGAAAAAATCAAGGAGTCGATTGTTGATGTTGTTCGGAAACTTGATCACTGGGGTAAAATGCTTCCGCATTCCTGGGCTATGTTTGAAAACTTCTTTCAGGAGAAGAAATACCTCAAAATAATTAATAAAAGAATACTTTTAGGTTTCAATGAAGCATTACCACAGGACATTAAGTTAGAGACAGAAGATGATATCAATACCATGCTGCAGTTTTTCCATGATATCAGAGAAATCTTGTATTTCAATCAAGAATTTCTGAGAGAAATGATTATTCTAGATGTTCAGTGGTTTGCAGATGCATTTAAAAATGTAATTACCGACAAAAACCATGCAAAGAAAGATTTACGTGAGTTTACATCTGAGTGGGACCAATTCGATGACACTGGAGAATTGAGTGACACTTTGCTGACTAAGATTTGGGAAATGAACAATAATGAATACCTTGAACACAAAGATGGTATCATGCTGTACATGGAGAAGCTAGGGCTATTGGCTAAAATGGATGACGAAAAATGGTACGTTCCCTGTATGAACAAAAGAGCATTCCCTGTTAATGCGTTTTCATCACACCCCGCCTCATCCATCCTGTGCTACACGTTTGATGTTCTTCCTGCTGGAATTTTCCATCGACTTGTAGCAACTTGCATGCAAAATACTTCAAAGATGTTTTCCTTTGAAGACCGAGGATGCATATATCAGACTGCTGCTAAGTTGATGTATCAGGACCGTCACCATAACATTCTGATCGGAATGACCCAGACAGAAATTCAGCTGCAGGTGTTTGTTGTAGAGGGGGAAGTTGATTTTTCAACATGCCACAAAATAAGAAAAAGAATTGAGAGTGTGTTACATGACCTTTCTAACACATTCCAGAAAAATTCTGAATTACACGTTGCGTTCAAATGTAAACCTGTTGGATTTTGTGACAGTCGGGAGAGTGCTGTCCTTAGTGAATCAGAGTTTTCTCGAGCAACTTTCCAGTGTCCTTCCTGTAAAGAAGAGAAAATCCATATTGTTAACACTAAAGACATCACAAAATACTGGAAACAGGTATTGTATAATAAGGTCTAAAATTACACATGATTTAAAAAATAAAAGGAAAGAAATAACAAAATTATAAAAAATTATAGATTATAAAAAAAATGATGACCGAATGTATTCGTTTTTCCAAAATAGAAAAGTCTTATATAACATTATCCAAAGATAACACATTACGGAAGCCCTGAGAATAGAATATTGTCTTCAATGATACATGTTAAGTAGTTTCCCTACAATATGCAGTGTAATAAACAATGAAACAATAATATAATAAAAATTTGAAATATGTAGGGATGTTTTATGACTTGTTTTATACGCCAATCATTTTTTTAAAAGCTAAATGAATTCAAGATATGTTTATTATTAAGTAACAATAAGTAGGTAAATCAATAGCTCAATAAAATACGAAGATAACAAACTGTAATAAAAACTCATTACTCAGATCGGCAGTAAAGCAAATATCAGGGGTGGGATAAGGTGTCATGGAGGAGTAAGCATCCACCATCGACTCAAGTGAGGAAATTTAATGTAGCTTATTTTGTAAATAAAATAAAATGTTTTATAGATCTTAAAAATGAAATGTTTTAAATAGCTAGAGTTTTGTTTGAGACACTTGAGGGACCAGCTTTTATGATATAACCATTCATGTGAAAATGTCTGTCCAACTCGTGAAAATTAACACAAGACATATCACATGATACAGGAAGCAGGTAATGAAAATGTATATTGCCTGTTTCTATGCTTCCGTGATGATGTGTTTTTTTTTTTAGATGGGATGTTCTAAAACATAATGACATATGAATTCTTTATCCAAAGAAATGTTTTCATATAGTTCACTTAAATCAAATACACTGGTTTTCGTACCTCTTCCCTGCCGTAGTTCTGTCTTTTCAATGGATAGCGCTGGTAACCCATGGCTTCACTTAATTTGGCTCCACGTAATTTGTGCACGAGTCTGTAGTGTAGGCGTAAGTAAAATATCCTGGTTTATGTCCGCTGGAAAAAGTTACATTTCAGACACTCGAGATCAGAAGCATGTTGCTCTTTAACGTTTAAATTTAAATTGCTGGTTCTTGAAATTTTCCTCATATTTTTCACAAGGCATACTAATTATAAATTCGAAATCTGATTGGCTGGCGGCTGGTGTTTCAAGTCTGGCGTCTGAGACGGGTGGACGTACTGGTAGCATCTTCAAAACGTTTTGTTTCCATCTGCTGACTCGAGTGCGGCGATGCGTAGTGGGTACTCTCTGCGGCTGGTCACGCGTGTACTGGACGGCTACTGGTTTCCATTTCTCTGAATGTTTTATTTGGAATAAAGCATCACTGAGTCTTTCAACAACAATCCATGGTCCTGTCCATTTTCTGGCTAATTTAGTTTTACATCCAAAGGCAACGTTAGGCTGGCTCCGACAATCTAACTCTAACTCTCCAACTTCATAATTAATAGAACGCACATTCCGATCATAAACACGTTTTTGTCTCTCAGAACGTTGAGTTGCGGATCTCAAAATGTCATACATTTCGCACAGACTTTTCTCTAAAGTACGCTGTACTTCCGAACATTCGTTCTTCAAATTTACAGTTAATAGATTTACTGGAAGAGTCATTCCCTCGCCGAATTCCATTCTGTACGGTATTTTTCCTGTCGATTCATGTACAGTGCTGTTTTACGCAAACGCAATACCATCTATGAATTTATCCCAGTCCATTTGATTCACAGAAATATACTTAGTTGCATATCTTTGATTGTCCTGTTTAGTCTTTCAATCATTCCATCAGATTGCGGATGATAAGACGTGGAGCGTGTTTTGTAGGTATTTACACGAAACTGCTGACTCAAAAATTGGACACCTTGGTCTGAGTCTATTTCTTGCAGGCGTCCGTAGCGTTTAATCCATCCTCTAAACATTGTTTTGGCTACTGTTTCGGCTTCAATGTTCCTAAGGGGTAAATCTCTTTAGTAAATAATCCAAAAGCACTGGAATATATACAAATCCTTTTGCTGATTTCGGAAATGGGCCAGCTATATCTACACCATTCTTTCAATTCAACACCACTCACATAAGTTTTCATAAAGCTCCTTTTCATCTTGTATAATGTATTACGTTCTTCACAGATATCACTCGAAGAAATATAATCCTGAACATATATCTCCTTAAAAGAGGCCAGTAATAATTGCTTCTGTTTAGTTATTCATACTGTATGTGCGTCTTCCACATTACGGCATCACGTAATTTCAGAGACTGCGATTCTTAATCGCTCTCTGTTGTCTTCTATCCATTTAATTCACAACACACCTTGGTTTGCAGTAAGTAATTCCCACCGTGAATATACAAAATTCCTCTCAAAACTAAGACTTGACACCGAATCTATTGCTGGTTTAGCAAAATCCGGGTCTTCTTTCCATTTACGAAATGGTGAAACTGTAAGACGAGAAAATTTGGCGCATATGTATTTTAGCGCAAACGCAAGTGGGAATGCACTGGCGCAAATACAATTTTGCGCTTGCACTTGTCATTAAAATCAGGGACCTGTAAAAATATATAAATGTGATATTTTTTATTTGACTCTTTGGTTAGTCAAGCAGGGAAACACGATATCATTCCCGTATATAAGTAAACATTCGTCAACTTTACCGTAATGTTGCAATGACACGGACGTGGCAATGTAAAATTTTATTTCAAATTTATTTCAAATTAAAAATAGAGTATTTTTCGCATTTTATTCATATCAAAACAATGCATGCATCGAAAGAATGTTACTTGCATAAAATAAAGTGTTGTCTGTAAACTTTCTAAACACAACGATGTTACAGGCCGTTTCCTAGGTTTTCCTTGTACAGGCCGTCTAGAGGTCCTATGACGTTGCGTAGTATCTCTTAACTAGCACAGAGTCGTTTCCTGAGATCGGTTTCTTTGAAAAGCATTCTAATGTCAGACAAGTAATTACAAGACTGGCGATTTTTACTGTTAGCTAATTTTCGCAAGTCCTTACTGTGATAATATTTTGTATAACTTGGATCCTCTATCACATTCATTTTGCATTGTTTACATTGTCCAGGCCATTCAATTCTAGTTCTAGCGTTTCCATGACGTTTTCCAGGTCTATGCTGAATTTGAAAAGTATTACCTGCGATAATGTAGCCCTCTCCGATTTTTTTCTACCTAATATTTTCTGGAGAGAGCTGCAATTCCACAGCATCTATGTAATGGTGCAAATATATCTTTTTAAATACGGATGACTGCAGACAAAATATATTATTTTTACAATCAACTTACTTCTAAAAAGGCGAAATTTTTATTTACTGGCATTATCATAGTCCCTTAAACAAACAGTTAAAATAAATCTGCTTGAATGTTTACCAGATGTTCTCATCAGAAGCCATGACAGTTCTCGCGTGATGCACTAAGACTTTCGCTTGAAAATTATAACTTTGTAAAATAAATTTTCGAAGTTACTAAATGATTGTGCTCTATGGCATCACTAAACATTGAAAAATAAAACTAATTCGTGTGACATTTTTTCGTAATTAGCGATTTCTTTGAAACTAATGCACTCATTCTCATGACTGCTGATATGGCTTCAGAGATTAACTCTTATGGTATTTCCCTTAATAATACCCAAATTTGTACTCCGTCTTGTTTGTTTATCGTTTAGAACCCCTCTCGAGAATGCTTCACTAATATGGAGACGCCACGACTTGTTGGTGCAGGACCACAACTTTTCACCTATGTTCGGCACTTATTTATTCATTTTAATTAATTTTATTTTGCTTTATGTCATTTAGAATCAAGGCTTACAAATGTCTTCATTAGAGAAATTAAAAATATTCTAGTTATTAATTTAACATTTTGGTTTGTTAAAATTTTGTCAATTTTTTCTATATTTTAGATTTTAAAGCCAATTAATCTTATAAGAAATTGCACCTCGTCATAATGACTTGTGATACGTCAGATCTTTTAACTCGCTTCATGATAAATAAATAGGTGAAGCGTTGTAGTTAATTTAAATGATGAATCTGCAAAAAATAAATTAATTTCTTATATTTACACTATTTACTTATATGTATTTACATTTTTTCTTGATGAGTTGCCACAAATTTACGCCATTCAATTGTCATCTTTGAAGCAAAAAAGTTTGCACTTTAGTTTTAACGTCAAGTTTTGAATTATGACGTAACATTGGAGTTATTCATGCTCACCCATGGAAGTTCATGAGAAATTGAACAGTCTTCCTATTTGCAAAGAATCTTAAGGAAAATTTAATGCTAATATATTAATTTAACATCTATGAATGTGAATTTCAGAATGTCCTAGATCTACTTGAAGACAGATCTTCTAATGATGGAAAAGGTAGGATTCATTTTTCTTGAGCTTGTGGCTAAGATGTAAATGTTTTCTTTTCAACTAAAAAAAATCAAGGATATTTTTATTATCCATCAAAAATGTGTGGTCAATTCAAAATTTTGAAGGATAGATAACTAAAAAGACATGAAAGGTAATTTCGATTTCTTTTTTTTTACTTTTAACCTCAAAAGATTTTTAAAAAGGCGTTTCAAAATGATAACAAAAAGCTTTAACTTTTGTTAAACTAGTTTTAAAGGCAGTGCATATAATAAAAAAACTATATGCGGTATATTGCATATCTTTGCCCCCACAAAAGTCAAATTTGAAAAATTCTTGAAATGTGCTGAATTTTATAAATTGTATGAGAAATATAAATTAACAGAATATATTATAGTTTCAAAGTAGTTTATTGACAATTTTTGTTTTTATGACGTCACAAACTAGTTCGATTTTAGAAAGAAGACAAAATGGACAAAATTTCAAAAATTTTAGATTTAAAATTTATAGAGCGCAAATTTGCTCAGGAACAATATTTACAAATTTCGTTGATATTATCATTCTACACATTATATCAAAATATTGAGCCGCGCTCGGTGACTTTTACTCGAACTATCGACGTAAAATGTACATTTTTCTGTATAAATCATGGAAATTTTAGAGAATGAGTGCACTTAAGTACATCATTTGGAACCTTTTCGGCTACCTATTTTAAGCTTTACATTACAATATATCGCTAAATTAATCTATGATTAATGTGCAAGAATATGCTTTTGATATTTATTTCTAGAACGTTCTATCATACATATTTCTATTATTACAGAGAATGTAATTGAAAAGAACATGTAAAAGCCTTAAATTCCGAAAACTTGAACGGGACCACTTTCGAATCTATGGTGTCCGCAAATAGGCGGAGACATTTAAACCGCATATTTGTGGAATGTAAACATTAGCACATATGATTTTTTCGCATTGCGAATTGGAATGGAGAAGAGAGAGATTGTGTTGATTTTATGGTGCACAATTATTAAATGATTCTAATGTTAAGCCTATACATGTACTTAATAATGACACTGTCAATACCAGAATTCTCTCAAAACAACCCGAATGAAAAGCATAAAGTTAAATAAGAGACATATTATCTTCAAACTCAATTAAAATTTGCGCAGAAATCTCCCATAGTTTGAAGTTGGATGTACGATAGATACTGTCACAACGGAGACTTAAATACAATGAAATTTTCAATGATAGCTTTAGCGTATCGAACAGCAGAAGGTCATGTGAGAAAGGTGATTATAGTATCAATCGTTGATGCTCGGTGACCGGTTAATTTAGTAGCTATCTCGACCCCACTTTGGGGACATTTTTTTTAAAAATTAGATATGAGCCGCAATTTGGCCAACATTGTTCTTTGGATATGTATTAGTTTAAGTTAAAATACACATTCTGTGCAAGTAAGAAAAATGGCCAATTTGCGGCTCGATGTAATCAAAGTCGTCGAAAACTGGTATGCATATGAATAACAATAGAAATAACACAAAACTGTTAGACCCCCGTCTCAAAAGCTAGTGTCGCTAGGCATAATTTAATACTTTCATGTTATATAATACATCAAAACCTGCTCTTTAGATATTGTTCAATACCTTTAAAACATAAAATTAATGAATTTTGGAATTTTATTTTGCGCAAAACATCAGGATCCAACTCTCATAGCTTAAGTGCAGTCATTCTTCACTTCATTTTCGTGACGTCATTTCAAACATATGACGTCATTGCTAATGAAAATATTCAGTGATTTGAAGTCAGCATATATTCCCCTGAGAACATAATTAAATATTTCTCCGTTTAATTTTGAGGTGAAAATATTGGTTATTACCGAATAAAGTTCTTTCAATAAAAATACAGCGTCAAAGGATATTAACCAGAATTACCAGAATTTAGCAGTACCTAATAGAATTTACCTTTTTTATATTTAAGAAAAAAACTGAAGAATATGAATTTAAATGAAAATAATTTTTCAGCAGAACAGCAGCATGGTGAGCAGTTCAGAAAACTTCTAGATAATTCTCATCCACATGAGCACACCGAAATCTTTGGGAAATACGAAATAGGAAAACGGGTAGGCCGAATACAATTTACTGGAGGTCGTGGAGTAGGAACAGGATTTAGAGTAGGCAGCAAGTACGTCATGACAGCCTACCATGTCATGAGGGATAGTCTGAGTAAGTTATAAAGATACGAGGGGTGATCAAAAAGTTCAAAAACTATATCTATATCTACAAAACCCCACAATTCAGATTAGAATGAAATTCGGTACACACATAGCCATACACAAGGTCTATAAATAGCATATGCTGAATAAAGTTTCTCTCCTTGTTTGTGACGTCACAATATGAAAATGACGTCACTATTTAGGTCACTTGTGACGAAAAATGGTTGTCTCAGTCGAACTCGTTCAACAAACGACTGTACAATTTATTGTAATATCTTAGAAATCCCTCTACAGTATCATATAATAATTTGTACACAGTTTATTGAGATAAATGAGTTCCAATAAATTCAATTAATGATTGGATTAATCGTTTTAGTGAAGGAAGGCTGATGGTTAAAAATGATACTTGTCATCTTGCCAAGTGAAAGCAAATTCGAAAAGATATGTATTTTTGATAAAGCAATTTGCTATCAAAGACCTCCAATTAGCACTTAGAAAAATAGTTGAATATTTGAACAATGATATAAGTATTAAACACCTAAGATATTGTTTACTTTAGATTTTAAACATATTAGATATGATAAAAAGGATGCACCCATTCTCTATCCACCTTGAGTAAAAGTCTCTCCTGAGACAGAAGATTTGTGTTTTAAAGGTCGCCATGCTTATTTTTGGAAAGGATGTATTTATCCACCCATTCTGTTGTCGAGATATGACCATTTCTGACAAATTAACTGTTCTCGTCATAAAAAGTAACTCACATGGAAAAAAATATAAAACTTGGAAAAAATCTTTCTAACTTTTGTAACAGAACACGGAGGGGGTCACATGACCGCCAATGTAACGTGGTTCGCGCATGCGCAGAATGATGGTTGATGTGCATTAAAATCGGGGAGGATTGATTTAAAATATAATCAACATTAAAACCAAATATTGTTTCTTGTATGGAAGTTATTCAATTAGTTTGCAAACTTTTTGATCATCCCTCGTACATGTTGTTTCCTCCCTACACTAAATTAGTTGCTAAAGTATTCACAACATATACCTTACTATAAATCTGCACATCGTTCCACAATGTTATCAACTTAACACCTTAATGACAACATTTGGGGGTTTTCTTTAGACTTTCAAATAGGTATGTTATGTGATTTTTTTCCTTCTTTAGATTTTTTTTAGTTTTAACTGTTAAATTGGATTTCAATTCAAAGGTACATTATACATTAAAATATATTGGTTCATAGGAAATTAAATTTCTTGATAGTCCGTTGAAAAAGGCTATTTGCACATTTTCAATATAATATATAGATGCATACATATTAATTAAAATATTTTGTCATCTTTTATGATTCCTTGATATAAACTAATTTTTTTTGCATTTTCATATTTGTGTAAATTAAGATTATTTACGATAAGTTTTTACAGACATAGTATGGGAATTCTTCAGAAAAAGGAAAGACATGTATGGATATAATTTTCCAATTCGAATCACATTTTTCTTTAAAATTAATCTGTTTGATGAGTTTCTTGTAGCAATACTACGTGGAATTTATTTTTCTAACCACAGATAAAAGAATCGTTTTTCATACAAATTCAAAATGTATTGCGCTGTCAAAACTGTTTTTCTGAATTGGACTTAATGTCGATCTATAAAATGTTTATGTCTTTTGATTTTTAAGTTAGTGAGATGTGTTTTGTATGATTTTAACTGTATATTAAAATACATATATTAATTTACCTTTTTTTCAAGTCTATCAAATTTGTTGGATTTCTTGTTGCAGGTATTTAATACGTGTACAATATTTATATCATGCAACAATCATTTACACATTGTAGGCTAGGTTTAAATAAGTATCTCATTGTAAGGAAAACGTTTATTTTTTATTTTTTGGAAAAATGGAAGATCTTACAGGGCAATCCTTTCCAATCAATATATAGACAAACTATTCAGCCAGCATTTATACAAGTCACTGGCAATTTATACTAGTCTTTCATTAGCGAAATTATAGATACATATACATTTATTTTTTTTATATTTATAAGGCTTCGGCTGTGATCAAAGTTTTCAGAGTGTCATATCCTGTTTCCAAAGAGGATAATAAAGAATTTCCTTCCTTTAAGAAAACAAGAAGCCCATGGGTCACATCGCTCACCTGAGCAATGTGCCGAGGAAAAAACATAAATCAATTTATTGTTGAAAAGTTGAAACCAAATAGTGGTCCCCCAACCAATACTTAAAAGGGAAAGGGTGTGATTGGACAAACTGGAACTTAAACTTAAGATGCTTGCATATTTTGTTGACTATCTGTGGCTTTATTGCCTTTTACATTTGAACATACATTTTGGCCCCCAGGGGTCATGACTTGAACAAAATTGAATCTATACTACCTGGGAATGCTTGCATATGAATAGGACTCATCATTCCTATGCTATTCTTAAAAAGTAGATTTTTTGTACGTTTCTATGAGAAAATTGGATTCCATGTTTTGGCCCCGCCCTTCCCCCAGGGGTCATGATTTGAACAAACTTGAATGTCCTCTACCCGAGGATGCTTCCATAGAAATATGATCATTCATGCCATTTCTAATCCAGATAAAATTTTTATAGAAATTTGCACTATATTTCTATATGAAACTTTGATCAGCCATTGTGGCCCCGCCCTACCCCCAGAGGTCATGATTTCAACAAACTTGAATCTCAACTACCTGAGGATGGTTCCATATAAATATGATCATTAATGCCTTTGCTATTCTTAAGAAGAAGATCTTTAAATAATTTTCCTATATATTTCTATGTAAAACTTTGATCGGCCATTGTGGCCCCGACCTACACCCAGGGGTCATGGTTTAAACAAACTTGAATCTACATTACCTGAGGATGCTTCCCTTTTAGTTTCATCTTTCCTGGTACAGTGGTTCCCGAGTAGAAGATTTTTAAAGAATCTTCCTATATATCTCTATTTAAAGCTTTGATCAGCAATTGTATCCCCCTACCCCCGGAGGTCATGATTTGAATAAAATTGAATTTGCACTACCTGAGGACGCTTCCCTATAAGCTACATCTTTCCTGGCACAGTGCTTCTTGAGAATAAGGTTGTTAGCTCACCTGAGCCGAAGGCTCAAGTGAGCTTTTCTGATCAAAATTTGTCCGTTGTCTGTCGTTGTTGTCGTTGTCGTTGTCGTCGTCATCGTAGTCGTTGTAAACTTTTCACATTTTCATCTTCTTCTCAAGAACCACTGGGCCAATTTCAACCAAACTTGGCACAAAGTATCCTTGGGTGAAGGGGATTCAAGTTTGTTCAAACGAAGGGCCACGCCCTGTTCCAAGGGGAGATAATCATGAATTTGTTAAAAATTAATGGCATTTTAAATCTTCTTCTCCAGAACCGCTGGGCCATGAAAGATGAAACTCAAGTGGCAGCATCCTCAGGTAGTGTAGATTCAAGTTTGTTCAAATCATGACCCCCAGGGCAAGGGTGGGGTCAAAATGGCCGACCCAAGTTTTACATAGGAATATATAGGAAAAATCTTTAAAAATCTTCTTCTCCAGAACCACTGGGCTAAGGAAGATGAAACTCATGTGGAAGCATCCTCAGGTAGTGTAGATTCAAGTTTGTACAAATCATGACCCCCGGAGCAAGGGTGGGGCCAAAATGGCCGACCCAAGTTTTACATAGGAATATATAGGAACAATCTTTAAAAATCTTCTTCTCCAGAACCACTGGGCTAGGAAAGATGAAACTCATGTGGAAGCATCCTCAGGTAGTGTAGATTCAAGTTTGTTCAAATAATGACCCCCGGGGCAAGGGGGGGGCCAAAATGCCCTACCCATGTTTTACATAGGAATATATAGGAAATATCTTTAAAAATTTTCTTCTCAAGAACCACTGGGTCAGGAAAGATGAAACTCATGTTGAATCATCCTCAGGTAGTGTAGATTCAAGTTTGTTCAAATCATGACCCCCGGGGCAAGGATGGGGCCAAAATGGCCGACCCTAGTTTTACATAGGAATATATAAGAAATATCTTTTAAAATCTTCTTCTCCAGAACCACTGGGTCAGGAAAGATGAAACTCATGTGGAATCATCCTTAGGTAGTGTAGATTCAAGTTTTTTCAAATCATGACCCCCGGTCCTGGGGATAGGGTGGGGCCAAAATGGCCGACCCAAGTTTTACATAGGGATATATAGGGAAACCTTTTAAAATCTTCTTTTCAAGTACTTCAAAGCTATGATTAGTGATACCCGGGGTATTTATATGGAATCATCCTCAGGTAGTGGATTCTAGTTTGTTCAAATGATGAACGCCTGGAAGGGGGGGGGGAAATTCAAGCCCGATGTGCTCAGGTGAGCGCTGTGGCCCCTGAGCCTCTTGTTTAAACATACCATCAAAATTTCACAATACTAGTGTCTGAATTATCTCTCCTTGAATGAGGGCATGACCCTTCATTTGAACACGTGAATCCCCCTCACCTAAGGATACTTTGTGGCAAGTTTGGTTGAAAATGGCCCAGTGGTTCTTGAGAAGAAGTCGAAAATGTGAAAAGTAACCAACAACGACGACAGACAACGGACAAAGTTTGATCAGATAAGCCACACTTGAGCCTTCGGCTCAGGTGAGCTAAAAACAATTACTAAATCTCTTCAAAAACAACAGTCCCACGATCAATAATATTTTTAGGAATCATTTCTAGGTAGTGAATATTCAAGTTTATTTAAGTTATAATTTGATTTTGCTTGTATTCTTTTCTCTCATTGGCTGATTTCCAAAAAGGAACGCATAACATTTTGTATAATCTGGTTTGGTATGGGGACACACCCCCTTGACAACCAGCATAATCATCTGTATCCATCAATCCCCTCATTTCCAGTCCTTGGGATTGATGGAAAATTCCAGATTTAATGAATGTACCTTTAATTTCAAACAGTTACTCGATCTTACCTCATGTAAACAAGCATCATGGCTGCTAGAT